CCGGGCAGAGGCGGTGCTGAGGGCCAGGGTTTGGGGGTGGGATGGCAGGGGTAGGGGAGCGGTTGGGCTGGGGGAGCTTAAAGGGCTTTTCCCACCCAAACGATTCTGTGATTCTAAATGTAAAGTCTCCTTGATTCCAGCTGCTCTAAAATACCCAATAGGTGTCGAGCGGGGACCTGTCTCCTTTAAGCTGCTCTGCAAATCCAGCTCTGTTTCTAACACTTGAAAGCTCACCTTAATGAAGGAGTAGAGTGATTTCCCATACATGGTCAGGAATTCCTTTCTGATATACAGCATATCTATTTCAGAGCGGGACACCATCACTCGGATCAGCGTGTTGTCATCTGTTCCCAAGCCCTAAAGAAAGACACCAACCTTGTACAACTACAAAGCCTTTTGGATAAATCAGTGACAGACACAAAGGTGTTATCACTTGCTCTTACGTGGTATCTATTCCGAATCAGAGCATTTTTGCATTAGCGGAGTGATCCACTGGCAGCTCGCTGCCAGGTAAGAATATTGCTCTGAGCTTCCTGAGGGGAAAAAGGTTCATATAAAAGCTCAGATTTTTATTTTTTTTCCCCTTCCCCAATTAACAGCAGAGTTACTCTTTATCTACTGACTGCTGTCATGCTACTGACTCGAGTGTGGGAAGGCAGGGGAAATAAAAAATAGTGATCTCACACCAAAATGTCTTTACCTTCATGGATTTATACAATCTCTCAGCAAAATACGCAGGCTTATTTCGCATGCACTTTACTGTAAGGGAGACAAAACCAAGAGAATTAAGGTCAATAAAAACTGGAGGAGAAGGTCTTCCAAGCCTTTACAGCACTTCCTCAGCAAAGGTGTTTATTCTGTAAAGGTGCAATTCAGGGCCAAAACCCAGCAAGTACGATGCAGACGTCTCCCTAGTCAGTGACCTGCTGTAAATTGATGTCCCCGTGCCCAGTAATATTTTCTTTAAGGTTTTAATGCTTTCTGGCAGCAAATGTCAGCTATCAAAGCATCACTTGGGAAAGCAAACGATATCATAAAGCACAGCGTTTTCTCACCCGATTGTATCTGCAAACAGTAAAACACTGCGGCTTGCAAGCGGTATCTGCCTTCTGAAGCTATGTAAGCAGCCAGCCAGGGCAAGATACGGTATCACTAATTATTTAATTACTTTGCAGGCAAAGTTTAAAAGCAGGGCACTCACCCACAGCTAACAAAGCGTCTTCGAGGTCTCCCGACATCTCAGATTTAATGCTGTCTGTTATGTCCTTATTAGCGATCCCTCTGTATGCATCAAAAACTAGGAGGAAGAGGCAGCGATAAAAAGAGCAAGTGAGATGCTTCAGGGCACGCAGTGTGTAAACCACCAAGGATCACTTTGCAAGATCAAGCTCCTCGTACTCTCTATGAACATTGTACCATCATCGTGACATTGTAAACTAAGCCAGGGCTGTCCCACAGAAATAATTCATTTTAATCATCAACTGTCTTGCTAATTGGCCTACCACTACTGCTAGCGTTTTCCAGAACCGCTAGTTAATGATGGTAGCTTAAATGCTTAGCTCTGCCCCAAGGGGAGTCACACTTCATTATCTCCGATCTGCTGGCTGGAGCAAGTTGTACTGATGTTTTTTCAAGTCCCTTTTTGTCTCAGGAGGGAATAAAACGGTCTTAAAGAATAGAATGTGACGGGGCTCTAGGATACCCGCTGTCTCAGGAAGAGTTCACCATCAGTTAATGAACAAGTACAAAGCTCCTACAAAAGCATCGTCCTCAGACAAGGCAAAAAAAATCCACGACACCGCAGAGGGTCCTACCTCTTAGTAGGTGGCATCTGTTCCGTGTACAGAGGATGGCCATAAATTGTACCTCATCTGTTCCCCATTTCTTCTCCCCAGCTTCATACAGGCACTTGAAGACATTGTGAATAGACAAAGTAAGGCTAACTGAGAAGGGCAGGTGTAGGTAGGATGAGATTTTTACTTCCTTGGTGCGTGAGCACTGCTGGCCTGCGGCTTGGCTAGATCACAGGTATTTTCCAACGAATACTAACCAAGCACAGTGACTCTCAAATGTCATCTCCCCTCCCAAATACCCAGCCTGCCTAGAGACCTCTCACCACCGAGTTGCAAAGGAGGCTAGAACCATCATCCCCACTTCACCATCTGAATCAGAAGAGTGAAGAGGCTTCTCTAAGGGTCAAAACTGAGCCTAGAGCCCAGGTCTCCACCTAGGGTGTTGCTGTCTAGCATAGCTTCAGGCTTACTGTTCTAGCTCAGAAGAAAATGAGGTCTAGAAAAAGCAAGGATTCACCACACATCACACATACACGAACAGACAATTCTGCAAGGAAGCAAATTGCTACACACCTGAGCGTCTTGCTGAACAAGGGCATCATCCACATACATTCCCTCATCTCTGTTTCCCTGCAGAGATACAAGGACGAAAAACTGATTTCACCGGAGCATCTAATAGAAGCAAGTCCTGCAAATTCCCCATTCGAAACAAGTTAATGGAAATGCATAATGGGATCTTGCAAATTGAACAGTAGCTTACAAATACAGCGAAATACGGCTCAGCTGTGATTTGTACTTCTTTTTGAAGTGAGCAGCAATCCACTTTAACTGGGCCATTTTAAAAAGGGAACATGGCATTAATGCATACTCAGCATCAGACTCCTTGCCCTGCAGAAGCTGGGTGTGAAATGCAGGCGAAGTGAAATAAAAGCCAGGCCTAACCCACTCATCGCTGAAGTGAGAGGCATGTCCAGCAGCAGCAGGAGGCTTCACCCCCTTTTCCCTTAGCCTGGACTTACCGTCGCAAGGGACACGAGGACTCTTCGAAACATGGAAGATGTGTCAGAGACAATGTCCTCCTCAAGGGTACGGCCATATTCTAGCAAGAGCACACACGCATATGATGTCTGTTAGTAACAGCTCCACCACCTGGACACTTTGTCCACCACGTTTGCCAGCCGTAATCTAGGTATGTGACTGTGCTCAGGGCTCTAAACATCGTCATAGCAGTGCAGCCATCATATTTAGTGCTACAGGCCAAAATTAAGAAGCACAGCCAGTAGAAGACTGGCAACAGATCCACACACGGACAGACATCCAACTGATAGACATAAGCACCCCATCCTGTTTTATTTACACTGATTCAATTTCTGGGTGAAATTCTAATCCTTGAGGCTGTTAGCAGTCCTGCTGTTGACACTCATTTAATTGAGAGGTTCTCTCTGAAGAAATGACAACAGTTGTGTTGGCTGATCTGTCACATTTAATTGCTTACAGACCCCTCTCCTTCTTCTTCACATGCCCATGCATACACACAAGAGACTTTTCAGACAGCATGATAATGGCTTGCAGTTTGCACTACGTACGAAGTTTGTAGTTCTCGTTAATGCGCCGAATCTCTTCATTTGTGCGAGAAGCCAGAATTTCAATCAGGCAGCCTTCGTCTGTTCCTGCACCCTAGGGAATTGCAAAGACAAGTTCCAAGATTATAATGACAACTGTTTTGATGTCCCATTAGGATTTTTTTTAATTATAAGTTAATAAATTAATAAATGTATCATTATGCCATATCATACTAAATTGACCAGAACTTAAGCAACATAAAAGGAAGCTTTCCAAACCTTCAAAGCCCTCCTCAGTTCATGCACGTCATACATGGTGGTAGAAGTCATCATACCAATGATCACCCTTTCAAAATGCCCGCTCAGCTCAGACTTCAAGTCATCAATCAAATCCTAGAAGATAAGAGAGAGGAGAAAGGAGTTGGGAGAAGATACGGCCTTTGAGAACAGAAAGAACTCATTTACCACTTTTCTTCATGCTCCAGCCCTCCTTGGATGAACAGTTGCTCCAAAGTGAAGAAGACCAAAATAAACTTGGCCAGGGAAAGCTTGCACTAACCTTACTGTCGTCGAGACTGGGCTGTTGTTCACTTGTCACCCAAGTGATACAAGCCAAAAATTGGCTGCATCTCCCAGTTAAAACCACAGTCACTAACCTTTAGAGACCACCTACCCTGCCAATACTGCTTTTATAGGTGATCAGAACTTCCTGGCGTTGGGAAACATTTAGTTTGGTCAAGATCTCGATGATGGCATCTTCATCTGTGCCTGGAAGAAACCAATGGAAACCAGTCAGGCTGCTTGCACAAGAACCACAAGACTCCGGTCTTGTCCAGGGTGTGCCATTAAAACCATCTTCTGTTCCTTACGCAACTGGTTCTCAACAGCACTGGGGACTAGATCAATGTACATGTGTGCCTCAACCCAGCCAGGAGCACAGCAGTACCACACCACAGGAGAGAAGAGCTTGACTAAGGATTTTTTTGTGGCCAAGACTTGGATTTCAAGTTGTGTTCAAGTCTCAGCCTCATCAAGTCGCTCAATTCCTTTCAGTAGCCTCGCAGGGCAGGGGGGCAACGCAAATGGCTTGACTTCCCCTCTAACAAATCACCGGACAAAACATTCCCAGTACTTGGAGGAAAAAAAAGAGGGTTTAACAGTGGAGGGAGGTCAACTTACCAAATCCCTTCATAGCCTTCCTTAGTGCCTGTGCTTCTTGCTCAGCGCTGAAGCTGGAGACCCCCTTGATTGTTGCCTAAACCCACAGAAGAGGAGTTATCAAAGGCAGACTCGAAGTGATACAAACATACAGTAGAGTTGAATTAAAAAAAAAAATAATTCAAAAGATGCAAACACAGTGACAGCAAGTAAAGTCCACCCACCAGACATGACTGATTTTATGTCAGGCTTCCATCCTACTGTAAAGAGAAACAGTTTGTTCTAGAGGGACTTTGCGTCCAGCTCTGGAGCCCTCGGCACGAGGAGGGCATGGAGCTGTTGGAGCGGGGCCAGGGGAGGGCTACTAAAATGCTCCGAGGGCTGGAGCCCCTCTGCTCTGAGGCCAGGCTGGGAGAGTTGGGGGTGTTCAGCCTGGAGAAGAGAAGGCTGCGGGCAGAGCTGAGTGCGGCCGGTCAGGGCTTCAAGGGGGCCCAGAGGAAAGGGGGGGACAAGCTTTTTGGTAGGGCCAGCTGGGACAGGACAAGGGGGGATGGCTTTAAACTGAAGCAGGGGAGGTTTAGACTGGATCTAAGGAAGAAATTCTTTGCCGTGAGGGTGGTGAAAGCCTGGCAGGGGTTGCCCCAAGAGGGGGTGGAGGCCCCATCCCTGGGAACATTCCAGGCCAGGTTGGACGGGGCTGTGAGCAACCTGATGTGGTTCAAGGTGTCCCTGCTCCTGCAGGGGGGTTGGGCTGGGTGACCTCTGGGGGTCCCTTCCACCCCAAACCATTCTGTGATTCTACGACTTCCCAGCCACATAAGAAATAAGCCATGGGGACACAACTAAAAGGAGAAAATATCTTCATATAGCTGCCCACAGAGTATCTGGTTTCCACTTAAACAGTGGCAAGCAGCCTGACATCAGTTCAGTCTAGCTGGGGCTTCTTCCCAGCAGTTATCCATGTAAATCATAGAAGCTGTTCCCATCAAAGCCCTATTCCTGACTTCTCTGAGAGCAGCCAAGGACCATCCCTGTGTAAAATAACGCCCCAGGAAGCGCAGTGTTTTGCTCAAAACAGCGATTCACCAGCAGGCTTCTCCTGGCTCCTGCCCGGTGCCATTTCTGTGAGACTACACTGTCTCTTGCAAAGCTCTCCCTGTTCCCATGATAATCATCGGCAAAACACTGCTTAACATCTGCGTAGGTTAGGCTTTCTGAAACAGGCACAGGGATGACTACCATGTAGATGGCTACCTTGCAGGTTGAACCTGGACAGAATAAGAAGCTTATCTGGAGAAATTCATGCTCTTTGAACTAATACCTGATCGGATTTTCCATGAACTCCCCAAATGGAAAACCCCCTATGTGTAGGTTGATATCCTCTAGTATGAGGAAGCAGAGAGAAGCAATAAACTCCCTCCCGTAAAGGGACAGACAGTGACTGTTCTTCCTGCTGTGTCCTTTTATTTGAGCTACACTCCCCACGTTTATCTGATCAGAGCAAACGCTTGGCACAGCATGGCACAGAAAACACGCACACTCACCATCGCTCTCGTATTCGGTCAATCTGTTATCGTCTGAGTCTCCAGGCACTTAGACAACTGCAATAAAAACCAGAGGAAGTGTTAGTTTTCTAGCAAATAATTAATTGAATATATCTATCCATGCCAGTTAATGGTTATTTCCCTGAGGACTTGAACAGCCCTACTGAATGCCCGGAGCAGCATCCCTGTGTTTCCAGTCATGCTTCGTACCCAACGAGCAAAGGCTGGCTTGCAACAGCGTAGGGCCAGGGTGTTTGCCCTGCCTGAAAGAGGGATGTGGTGCACAAGCAGATGATTAGCACTAGCAATTTAAGAAATTGCTTTTCTGTTGCTACAGGAGAAGCAGACAACTGTGCCCTGGGAGCAAAGAAAATAGACTTGGTACCCATGCCCTTCAAAACTCATAGCTTTGACCTTGCCTGAGGGTGAATTAGGGTGAGGGTGCCTGTGCAGTCCTAACGGCCTTCACAGATACCCCCTGGGAGGCAGAGGCAACATCCAGGCGTAGATGAGCATGCAAAGGACAACCTCACATGAGGACTGGGACAGGAGAATTATTTTCCCCTCTTACTTAAAATCTGCTGTATTCAACAACTCCTCAGTTTTGTGCAACGTGTAATTCCTTGTAGGACTGCAGTTTTAACTGACTGTTAAAGCCCTCAAAAAAAAAAAAAGCTTACTTGCCATCTCCTCAGGGTTATTTTTTGTGCTCATAATTCTGTTTTCATGCATAGGGCCTATACATAGAACCATTTAGGTTGGAAAAGCCCTTTAAGCTCCCCCAGCCCAACCGCTCCCCTACCCCTGCCATCCCACCCCCAAACCCTGGCCCTCAGCACCGCCTCTGC